CAGCCGAACACCAACGCTTTACCATCACACTAGGAACTAGTGTGGTTCGTACATCAGTTCATTGTGTAATAACCTAATCTTATGACCAATTAGAGAATCAATAGTAAATTTGTCACCAATAAGAATATAGATCATAAATATCAGAAATTAATAATTATAATAAAAACGTGTTACTTCCAGTGCACAGCATTCTATAATGACAATCAAATACAGATAATTTGAACAATAAAGAAATACGAAAAAGTCTTAGCTTGAAGACGTTTTCAATCAGTCACGAATCATCCTCGGAATCTCCGGAATTCTTCGTAGAACACTGGGAGATGAATAACACGGGTAAAGTAACAGCTCGTGGAATTCCTCACATGCAAGCTGTAAATTAAGATATATTACGTAGCAACATATTAGGCTACTAAATATCTATATTCAAGAAATTGAGAATGGAGAGTAATAGAAAATACTAACATGTGTTTTATTTATGTCGCTCGGCGTGACGACAAGCTACCCTGCTATATACAATCTCTAATGATGCATCAAAAGGGAGTTATATGTGTACTTAGCTAATAGGGAACTGTATAAGTTGAAGCTTGCCGAAACTCGCGTCTCAGGCTCTAGCGTCACAATGGCGAACACGTGGTGGCTAGCTTGGCCTGGATGTCGACGCGCTTCTCTGGCCGGTCACGATGGATTACGCAGAACAAATTGACAAGTTCCGGGCTGAATGTCAGGTTAAATCTTGCTGACGATTCACAACGTATCCTAGACACTGACACCAAACGAGTTGCTCAATTCCACAACAAGTCTTCACGCCGCACTCAGGCACCTTCCTCTCACGCCGACGCCTCCACACGTTCTCTAATTAATGGCGTCTCTCCCTGCCCCGCATCCCGCATTTGCCATACAAATTATTCACCACGAATAATATTATTTCTCGCAGTTGTGGCTAAAATGCTTTGATAAAGACTGGGTTAAAATTCTAGGGAGTTAAATATTATTACTTTCTCGTTTTACGATGGTAAACGAGAAATGGAGATGATTTTAATTCTCTCCATGGCATTCATGCGTGACGTTAAATTTATTACCAGATAACAGTTGTAACTAGAAACTCTCGATTTGGCATTATTTGGGAGTCAGGGTATCGGTAAATAATTATCACACAGAATACTGTTGTTTTTAGGAATCAAACTCAATTCTCTAACACACTGGATATAAATGTGTTTATTTTGGTAGAATCTGACGCAATACTGGTGTTTGGTTACGTAAGAATTCTAGCATTATTGCACAGATACAATTATTAGTTCATGTGAACCCTACTGTTGGTTAATTTTAGTTACTACAGTAATTAGTAGATTTTAGTAATAATTAATAATAATACAACTGTATTGTATTAGTGTTGGAAATTTCCAACATCGGTGACTTCAACTTGAAATCCATAGACTGGGAAGCATATGAAGCTAAAACAGAAGATTTTTGGACCTGTAAATTTGTAGACCTCATCCTGGAAACATTCTTGTATCAACATGTTAAACAAGCTACGAGGATGAGGGAAGGGGACGTTCCCTCCATGCTAGATTTGATATTTACCAGGAAGGAGGAAGAGATATTTGACATTCAGTACCTTCCTCCCTTGGGTAAAAGTGACCATGTCTTTTTGGGAATAAAGTATGCAATGCGTTATAAGCTGGAAGAAAATAAGGAGGTTGAAGCAGTTGAAAAACCAGACTTCAGGAGAGGACATTATGGTGACCTTAGAAATTTTTTTAGTGAGTATAATTGGACAGACTTGATGCTAGGCAAGGAAGTGAATGAGATGTATGTCAAGTTTTGTGAAATATATGATAAAGGCACAAAAAAATTTATACCAAAACAGAGATGCAGAACTAGGAAACAGGATTGGTTCAATAGAAATTGCGAGAGGGCTAGAGACCAAAAGACACAAAAATGGAATCAATACAGGAAGAGGCCGAACCCCCAAACATACCAGCGATACAAAGATGCGAGAAACAACTACACGGCAGTGAGGAGAGAGGCAGAAAGAAATTTTGAAAAAGGGATTGCAGACAAATGTAAAACAGAACCAGGTCTATTCTATAAATTCATAAACAACAAATTGCAGGTAAAGGATAATATTCAGAGGTTGAAAATGGGAAATAGATTCACGGAAGATGAAAAGGAAATGTGTACCTAACACTGACACACCTTGCCCACCCCACCCTCTACATCCCATATACACACTTTCTCTGCTTTACTGGTCACATAGTTCAACTCAACACCCATCCATCCATCCCTTATTCCATCCATTCCTCCATCCATCCATTCATCCCTCCCTCCATCCCTACATTTGGAGCCGACATGGTGCACGGATGTTCCTTGAATGTGCAGATATGTCCAACAAAGTCACAGAATGAACACTCGAGCCTCATGACAAATCAGAATAATGTGCCGTGAATCTGTGACGTTACAGGGATAAAGGCACTAGAGTGGTGGACCAAGTGGCTGTCTGTTCAAAATATATCTTACCTGAATGTTACTTAAAATATTATCGAAACTTAATAACTTCGGAAATACTGGAGCCCCGCATTTAACGACCTGGGTACAGCCCCATACAGGCTGTTAAATCGAGTGGATACTGTGTTCAAATTAAGGTTGCAGTAGAGTAATTTTAGTGTAAAATAGTGTTCATAAACTGCATTGTAGTTCTCAACATACAGCAGAACTACTTATCAATACAGTGCTACTGACATAATACAGTACACTAAGTATTTACTATGCAGCATTCACAACTCCATGAGAATTCAGGATAGACATAACTAAAACAATAAGATAAATGACAACTGTAACACAGAATTTTTTAGTAAAGTAGTAATATATAGGTACAGTATATAATATGATAATGCATTTTTAGTGTTTACACGGAACAAAAAGACACTGACACAAATGCCTCTTGAAGGTCACCTCTTGCAATGAATCCAACACTGCAATGAACTGGGGTTGGTCCCTGTTATGGTTGTGGTAAGAGAAACAATCTTTGTCCACATAGTTTTATTCTCCGCTAGTAACAACAACAAAACAATTATCTGGTACATGAAATATTATTAACAAGATCATAAACAAAAGAGCATCTGCTCCAAACATGCTACCTCCAACATCTGTAGTACTCAATCCCAACATTCCTCCCCTTTTAAATAAACTCTATCCCTACAGGTTAAGTCAATCAGGCGGTTGTATGACTCTTCCTGATTGTTTTAACTGGGAGTCCTGACCTGTTACTTCTGGGAAACATTCTTCTGAATTACTCCCTGTAGAGTCCATAGGGTTAACTGTATCCATATTACCCTCTGCTGCCCCTTGCTCTGCCTCCCGGTCTCCTGCAGGTGCTGCTATCCCTTCATTATTAGGATGGATATCACTAGTTGCCCCACCCCCACCTGAAGGGTCTTCAAAATTCCCTGTGAACCTTGGCATGAGCTGATCTGCATGCCTTTTCCAATTGATGTTCCCAAAACTCTGTACTTGCACAGTGAAATTCCTGCGGCCCAGGACTTCCCTAATTTTTCCTTCCACCCAGGGCTTTCCACTTCCAAAATTCCTTGCATTTACTGCATCCCCCTCATTAAACAACAATTCCTCTCCTTGAGCCAACTGACTGGCCAAGCTAGTTACCGATTTCTCTTTATCGGGATCTGTCTTTACTGTTTACATGTGCACTTTAAAGTGCCTATTAAACAGCAATTCAGAAGGAGATTTACCAATGGTAGAATGAACAGTTTTCCTTTGATTATATAAAAATCTACAAAGCCTTGTATTAATAGTACCTTCCATAAACCGCTTTAACCCTTCTTTCAAGGATCTCACTGCTCTCTCTGCTAGACCATTTGAAGAAGGATTATAGGGAGCAGATGTTACATGTTTAATACCATTTTTTCGAAAAAATCTTCCATTTCCACAGAAACAAAATAAGGAGCATTGTCTGAGACAATTATGTCTGGCAATCCAAAATTACAAAATGTTTTTCTTAGTAATTCACAAGTTACAGATGATGTGGTGGAATTACACAAATGCACATCCAGAAATTTGGTGTATGAATCCACCCCCACTAGGTAATATTTGTTATCCATAGGCCCCGCATAATCTACATGAAGTCTAGACCAGGGTTTTCCAGTGCATGGCCAAGAAAGTACTGGGACCTGTGGTTTCTGATAATTCTTAAAGCAAAAATGACAATTTTTTGTTACCTCACCAATATCCTGTACGGATTCCTGCTGCTTTTTCATCCTCTTCTGGAAATCCATCAAACTCCTGTGATATGATGGTTTCACCACATACTGACGTTTAAGCAGAGCAATCAGGTCTACATAGGTCTTCGTGTGCGGTAGCTCAGGTGCACACAAATTTCCGAGAACACTATATGCTTCAGAACCCAGTGAAACTAAGAGTACCGCTTTCTTGTTGGCGTCCTCCTTAATCTCCCGGTACCGAAAGTTTGCTTCCAGCAGGCTGAGCCACAGGTCCAACGAGATCTTGGCAGTGTTTAACTGCTCCATTGACATGAGCGGCGTAGCCATGGCCACGGTGGTAGCACACTCCACTGTTGTATGCGAAGCGTCCACTCGTCCACACAACATACCCTGCTCTCTCTTGATCCTCACACCACGTCTCGTACCCCAGGCTCTCTGCCGGAGATGTTTAATCCTCGTCGCCACTGTTATGGTTGTGGTAAGAGAAACAATCTTCGTCCACATGGTTTTATTCTCCACTAGTAACAACAACAAAACAATTATCCGGTACATGAAACATTATTAACAAGATCATAAACAAAAGAGCATCTGCTCCAAACATGCTACCTCCAACATCTGTAGTACTCAATCCCAACAGTCCCATATAGTGCGTTGAATCGAGGTTGTATTGTAATGTATACGCTGTCAAATAATGCCATCAATATACAGTACAATAAATCCACATACAGAAAAACATAAGTCATGTTGAAAGGTACATGTACTAACCTTTAGCCAGACGTGCAATGACTTGACTCATGACCTCCACCTCATGGGCTTTCTTGTCTGACATTATTCCTTTCATTTTCAGTGTTCGGATTTTGTCAGAACCATGGATCTTCAAAACCTGGGAGAAAAGTATTGTTCACATAATCAGGCAAAGACAAGCTTTTTTTCTGAGCAAAAAGCTCAGATGCATCCTAAGATAAAAATCTGAGGTGTTCTCACAGTCAAATGGCAGGTAACATAATGCATCAACACACCTTGGCTCATTTCAAACTTTCCTGTTGGGTCATACTGGTGGTGGCAGGCTCTGAAGAAAAGCAGTCACAGCCACAGAAACATTAGAAAGATCTTTTTCAGTGTCGGAGTGGTTAATAAATGGAATGCATTAGGAAGTTATGTGGTGGAGGCTAACTCCATACACAGTTTCATATATAGATATGACAGAACCCAGTAGGCTCAGGAACCTGTACACCTGTGTTAGGGACTACCTTACCTTAAGGTTACCTTGAGGTGCTTCCGGGGCTTAGCGTCCCCGCGGCCCGGTCGTCGACCAGGCCTCCTGGTTGCCGGACTTATCAACCAGGCTGTTGAACGCGGCTGCTCGCAGCCTGACGTACGAGTCACAGCCTGGTTGATCAGGTATCCTTTGGAGGTGCTTATCCAGTTCTCTCTTGAACACTGTGAGGGGTCGGCCAGTTATGCCCCTTATGTGTAGTGGAAGCGTGTTGAACAGTCTCGGACCTCTGATGTTGATAGAGTTCTCTCTCAGAGTACCAGTTGCACCTCTGTTTTTCAACGGGGGTATTCTGCACATCCTGCCATGTCTTCTGGTCTCATGTGATGTTATTTCTGTGTGCAGGTTTGGGACCAGCCCCTCTAATATTTTCCACGTGTAAATTATTATGTACCTCTCCCGCCTGCGCTCAAGGGAGTACAATTTTAGGCTCTTTAGTCGGTCCCAATAGTTTAGATGTTTTACTGAGTGGATTCTAGCAGTAAAGGATCTCTGCACGCTCTCCAGGTCAGTAATTTCTCCAGCTTTGAAAGGTGCTGTCATTGTGCAGCAGTACTCCACTCTAGAGAGCACAAGCGTTTTGAATAGTATCAACGGTATAGCATCTCTAGTGTGAAAAGCTCTTGTTATCCAACCTGTCATTTTTTTGCAGTTGTGACGGCTACTTTATTGTGTTCTTTAAAGGTAAGGTCTTCCGACATGAGTACACCCAGATCCTTTACATTGCATTTTCGTTCTATGTTATGATTTGCCTGAGTTTTGTACGTGGTTTCTGTTTTTTATATTTTCATTTTTTCCATAGCGCATAAGCTGGAACTTATCTTCGTTAAACACCATATTATTTTCTGTAGCCCATAGAAAGACCTGATCTACATCTGACTGGAGGTTCGCCGTGTCCTCTATGTTGCCTACTCTCATGAAGATCCTAGTGTCATCTGCAAAGGATGATACAGTGCTATAGGTTGTGTTCTTGTCTATGTCCAAAATGAGGATGAGAAAAGCTAAAAGAGGACTGGAAAGCTAAACAATCTCCCACCCACCCACCACCCCGGGCTGGCACGACGCTTGGCGGATCGCTTCTTCACCCGAACTTAGTTCATATAGCGTGATTCCCTAACCCCCAATTGAGAAACTGGTATTTTCAGAAAATTCAAATTTACAAACCATGTGGCCCTCTGTATGATAGAACTCAATAAGTTCAGGAATCTGGTCAGCAATAGACTGACAGTTGGGAGGTGGGACCAAAGAGCTCAACCCTTGCAATCACAACTAAGTGAGTACAACTAGGTGAGTAGAGTTCAGCCTAGAATGACCATATTCAAAGCTTTTCCAAGATCAAGGACTGGCAAGTAAACTCTTAAGTGCCAGTTTGCCCATCTGGCTGCAAGCCCCAAACTGCTGCAACCATATGAATTGCTGTCACTTGTTTCAAGTGCCATTCCATTCTAACAAGAATCTCCGTGCACAGAAGCACCACTTGACAAAGGGAACTTAAAGTGAATAATTGCCATGTTATGGAATGTGGAATAGGAGAAAAAAAAGACCACAAATAACCTACAAATTATGTGGAAAGGACTAAAGAACTCTAATAGAGGAGATCTAGGGGTGGTTCTGGATAGTAGACTGCCACCAGAGGAATATATATAGGACATTGTGTGAGAAGCATATGCTTTCCTTTCCAATCATGCATCCATCAGAATCTCACTTTAATTACAGTGTTTCCTCACTTGAATGAACTACTGTCCCCACTCGATCATCCGGACTATATAGGAAGGACCCCCGGCTGGATTATCACATTTTTCGAATAATGGTACTTTTTCACCACCTACGAGTCCAAAAGTGACCATTTCCAACTATTTTTATACTACAAACAACATAATTTGAATTGTATGCCACATATAATTATTAAATATTCAACTAGAAGCCAAAACTTACCTTGTTGGTGTTCGCCTTCTTGATTGATGCCACACATCTTGAATTTAAGAATTCTTAACAATTTACGTAACCTATACTAACATAGCACTAAAATTAACACTTAAAATTACTGTACAGTTCATTAAGCAAAGTTAGTTTTGACTGCCTGCTGCTGAAGCCTCACTGGTCGAAGGCATTTGGGTTGCCTGTGAGGCCTCACTTGTTGAAGGCGCTGGGCTTGCCTGCGGCGCCTCACTTGATGAAGACGCTTGGCTTGCCTGTGACGCCTCACTTGTTAAAGGCGCTTGCTTGCGCCTCACTTGTTGAAGGCGCTTGGCTTGCCTGTGAAGCCTCACTTGTTGAAGGCATTTGGCTTGCCTGTGACGCCTCACTTGTTGAAGGCTCTTGGCTTGCCTGTGGCGCCTCACTTGTTGAAGGCTCTTGGCTTGCCTGTGGCGCCTCACTTGTTGAAGGCGCTTGGCTTGCCTGTGGCGCCTCACTTGTTGAAGGCGCTTGGCCTGCCTATGACGCCTCACTTGTTGAAGGCATTTGGCTGCCTGTGACGCCTCACTGGTTGAACAACACACAACTTTTCTTTAACACTTTGGTGTACCCCGCGCGCCACCCCTCAACTGTGTGATATGGGACCCAGGGTGTCACGAGAGCGCACGTAAATTCTGAAAAGTGTATACTCTCTTCAACTTTGTCACCTAATTCTCGTCCTACGAGATTAAATTTTGTATCATTGTGTTCGCAATAGAATTCTCTACAGCACTAAATGCATATAAACTCCAAAAGCCCGGCTAATTACCCGCAGCAAACAGAGAAAGTGCGAACGAGTTACCCAGGAGTGCGCAAAGGCGATAAAATGTTTTCACTATTTTCACTCTGGTCACCTCAATTTTCGTCCTAGGTCTTTCATTTTGGTCTCAATGGGTTCGCAATTGAATTCTCTAGAGGACCATTAGCATATAAAATAAAAAACTTGGTCACGCTCCAACCGCCGACGAGTTGAAGACGGGCCACACATTAGCCACAAGTGAGAGCTCAGACGCCTTCCACCTACACTGCCAATTCCCGCCCTTTTGAAGCCTTTCTTTCGCAATTTTCTTCCTGGAAGGACCTTGTTTATGATCACTATCCATTGTGGAGTAAGCGTAGATAGTTTCTAAAGCCGCAGTAAGAAATATAGCCACGGAAAATAGCCGAAATGTACACACGTTTGAGATGCGAGGGGAGGCAACATTGGTTACAACAGTGGAGCGAAAACAATGGGCCCACGGCGTGTACCAACCCGCCTGAGGGCCACGAGGCTCAACAAAGAAAATGGGAAGACATCGGCGCGCATTTTAAAACCAGTCCCAAAAAAATCGGATAAAAACTTGATTTTTGGCGATTATTTAAAGTGGATGACGCAATGCTGCGTCATCCCCGGTATTACCGACAGTAAACGGATGACGCAATGCTGCGTCATGCCCGGGCGAAAGTGTTAATTGCTAGGACAACCTTCTTCCTCTTAACACTTCCAGTACGATTGATGCTGCTACCATAGTCTTGGGCAAAAATGTTTAAAGTTACTACGAAAATAAAAAAGTCATTTAAAAAAATATTTAACTAATGGCGCAGCACTGTGACGCCGCACTGGTTGAAGTGTATAACAGTAACTTGTCTTTAATTCTTAGGACAACTTTCTTCCTCTTAACACCTCCAGAACGAATGATGCTGCTACCAGGCATAGTCTTGGCCAAAAATATTCAAACTTTCTATGAAAATAAAAAACCAGCGTTGAATGTAATGAAACGCCATTTTCTGGGTGAGTCCCGGAGGCTCCCCGGAGCTATCCCAGGCTGATATGCTAATGTCAGACTTTGGCATCAGTCATGTGTATGGAGTTCTTATGCCTACCGGGGACCACGGCCAGAACCGGGCCCCCTCAGAGAGGCAAGGGGAGCAATGGCCTATAGAAGCCCCCGTGTGGTTGGAAGCATTCTATGTCTGCCATCGACCGGAACAGGCACCCAGAAAGGTAAGCGCCTCAAAACAAACCCCTATTCTGGTTAAAATTGCTACCAAAAACCGAACTAGTGGATAGAACTCCCCAACCGAAAACAAGCAAACTAGTGTGACGTCACACACCGCCGCGCCGCTGTCTGCGCAGCTCTCCCCTCCCCGGGAGGGGGAGGGGGAGCCCCAGACCCCTGTGCTGGCTACCCACACCTCAGTTCTTGAGGCTGGATGTCAAAAAACGCGAAAAAACGCCGACCGGAGGGAGGGAGGGATGCCGGGGAGCCTCCGGTACTCACCCAGAAAATGGTGTTTCATTACATTCAACACTGGTTTTCTGGGGGGAGCCCCTACTGCCCCCTAAAGCCCCTTCGGCTCCCCGGAGCTACATACCCAAAGACAAAAAAAAGAGGGACTTACCCGGGAGGCAGTCGGCACTTGCTTTTAACTCAAAGTTGAGACAACTGACTGCAACCGTCGACTAGGCCCAGGAACACTAACCAGGTAGAGCGCAGCCAGGACCCTGTTCAACTGCCAAAAACTCTGTGCCTAAATGTCAGCTCAAGACATGTTACTGAAGACGGCAGCAAGCGCAGCAAACTTACGAATGCCGTGGGGTATGGTGATAGACTGCAGGGTGGCTGGACCGAATAACCCCTGCGGACGACCTGGGAGACCCGAACCCTGGA